AGTCTGAAGGCAGATCTGCTGGAGGAAGAATTCTGCAGTGCCTTCCGGAGAATTCCGTTCCTCTACTGGTCCGTGATCTGAATGGCTCTGACTTGGATCACCTTGGGAAGTGTGGATAATGCAATTCAGATGAATTCAGTCTGTGTTGCTACGTGCAGCAGGGCTGCCCAGAGTGGCTTTAGTGCAGCATGTGCCCATCGGCACTTACAGTCTAGGGAGACTTTACTAGCCTCCCCACCTGACCATAATCCAAAGCAGAGAAGCTAAGCAGGTTGGGGATCCAGAGAGATACAAGCACCATGAGCACTCAGATGGAAGAGGAAGGGGGCAGGGGACTGGATGGGAGTATCAGGGAGAGCTTTGCGGAAGAAGGGGATATTCCTCATGGGTTTTCTACACATTCGCAGGTTAGGGGGACAACCTGGGAGGGCTACGAGGAGAGTCCCAACAGGCAGAGAAGAAACAGCTGAGACAGAAGGACAGCAGCGTGCGTGTTTGAGCATCGCCGGGTGCCCGACAGGCCGCAGGTAGCAACCGCGATTCATAAAGAGCGACGCACTCAGCACCACACAGAGCAGGTCAGGCATTACAGGAAGCAGAAGGAATGGCCCTGGGAGTAAGAGGCAAGAAGAGGCTGGACTTGGGCTGGGCCGGTGAGGTGAGGCAGGATTCTGTAGGGCAGAGACAAGGAGAAACAGATAAGGCTTCTATCAGGTGGTTTAGGGGCCCTGACTTAAGGAAGGACCGCTAAGGAGACGAGCTGGGGAGGGTGAGGGTGGGCAGAGTCAGGCTGGGAAGGGTCCAGGTCACAGGGTGGGGATGAAATGCAGGGGGGTTCTGGGCTGGACTCCCGGCGATGGAAGAGGGCGAGACTGGGGAGCTGCAGCGGGAACTGGCTATAGCCACACACTGGTCAGCGGAGGATAATGCGGGATGTCTACACCTGTGGGTACAGAGCCACCTGCTCCCAGCAGGTGCTGTACCAGCGACACCTGCGGGTGCTACACCTCACACTCTCCGCTCACCCCGCCCAGACTCACTCTGTAAGGCGAAAGCAATGACTAATTCTGACACATTCCAATTCCCAGGTTAGGGTCGGCCTTTGAACACGACCAAGCCCCGGGCCCCTGGGAGCTGTGGAGTGATGACGGGGAAGGCTGGCCTGCAGCCCAGTGATGGTGGTGGAGTGAGCAGGGGGAGCCCTCACGTGGGAAGGCACGGGGGGTGGGGGTGCCCTGAGACCGCAGAGTCCACAGCCTCAGGGACCGCAAGCAAAGCCTGTCTCTCGCCTTCCTCCTTCCGTTTCCCTGGCTCACCTTCCCTCCTCCACAATTCAGCAGTCACCACATTCTACTGATGCTGCCACCTCAAAACCTGTCCCATCTGTCACCTTCCTGCATCCCACTGCCCTGCCCGAGGCCTGCCCATCCTGTCCTGCCTGGAGCCACTCTCGCCTCAGCTCTTGACCTCAGAAGAAGGTGAAATTTGGAAGCAGCATTTACAATCCCTGTTAGCCCTCCTGGGCTCACCTGCAGCCCCTCTGTCTCGCCCTCTGCCCCCCAATCTGCAGTTCAGTCTGAGCTGAACAGACATCCTCACGCCCCCCCCCAACCCGTCCCACCCCTCCACACCCTGCACCACGATGCGCTGGCACAGCCTCATCCCCGTGTGGTTTGGAGGTCTCCCCAGCAGAAGCCTTCCACCAGCCCCAAGTGCTGCTTCTACCCATGTGCCTTCCCCACGAGGTGAACAGGCCCGTGAGACCAGGGACTGTACCTCACAGTGAGTTCTCAAGAAAGGCCTGCTAAGTGATGGATGAGAAAGCTCTCGGGTCACTGCCATGGGCACGCAAGGGTGGCCCAGATGGCTCCGGGCAAGGACAGAGATGTACCCATGTACGGACTTTGGGAATTTAAGCTACAGCTGGTGAGACAGTTAAAGACAGGCGGGCGGTAGACTGGACCTTTATCAGCTACTTCCTAGTCTCTCTGTAGAGTCTCAGTTGGTCATACAAATCCCCATCTACAAACAGGGAGCCCAGTGAACTCATACACACGTGCGTGCACGCACGTCCACGCGTGTCCCTGCCCTGAGCCTTGAAAACCGCTCAGAATTCATGAGTCAACAAGAAGCAGAGCTGGCCCCCTGGCCTTCGCTGTCATCGCCCCTGCAGGTCAGGGGTCCACTGTCCCGGCAGCCCCTGCCCGACGAGGCATTCGTCAGCCACCAGAGTGCCCAGCTGAGCTGAAGACGAGACTGCTGGGCAGACCCCGATGATGGGAGGCAGCTAGCGCAGCTCAAAAGGCAGACCCATCTGCCTTCTAACGGACATCTTGACGCTCTAGCCGAAGCTCGTTCACGCATATGATTTATTAACTAATTTAGCATGTAAGAAAAACATCTGCATTTCGCTTTTATCATCTTGCCAGCAGACAGGCTGAAGACAAGATGTGTACTGTAGACTTGTTTAATGGGGCCCTAAACACTCCCTCCTCCCTTGCCCCAGCTTACACGAGGCTCCGGTTTCAGAAGTTGTCTGCTTTAACTGACCTAACACAAACAAACAGGAGCATAAAGCTCTCATCGACACATAAATACTGCAGGGATGGGCAGAGGGGCCATAAAGTCCCTGCGCCAAAGTCCTGGCCACAGCATCCTACTTGCTGGGGCTACCTCAGAACTGGGGGGACAAAAAGGTACCCTGGTTATTTAAAACTACTGACTGGGTCTGATCACCCTTTATTATAGACGAGCTGAAGATGTTCATTTAAAGTGAACTTCATTTAAAGATTTCATTGAATGTGAGCTTGTAAGGAGAACTGTTTAGGGGAAAACGCCACGGTTGGGCAATGTAGTGGGTAGAATTATGTCTCCCCAAAAGACATGTTCAAGTCCTCACCCCACAACCCAACCTGTGATCGTGACTTGGAAACAGGGTCTTTGCAGATGCGTGTGAGTTAGAATGGTTCATGCTGGATGAGGGTGGACCCTGATCCCGGGACTGGTGTCCTCAGATGAGGCAATTTGAACACAAAGACACACAGACAAGGGGAGGCGGCCGCGTGAAGATGGAGGCGGGGAACGCAGAGATGCATCTATAAGCCAAGGAATGCCAAAGACTGCCAGAAGCCACCAGAAACGAGGACACAGGCAGAGCGTGAATTCTCCCTCTGAGCCACCAGAAAAAAACCATTTAGACACCTTCATTTTGGATTTTTGGCCCTCTGACTCTGAGAGAATAAATTTCTATTATTTTAGCCTCCCGGCCTGTGGTCACTTGTTAAAGCAGCCCTAGGGAGGACCAACGGGCATCTCTCTAATATTGGTGATGATAGTAATCCTGGAGGATTTGGCACCCACCGTGTGGCGTAGCTGGAAAGCAGCTGGCCCAGGGGATGAAGAACCCAGCGCTGCCGCTGAGGAATGGCCCCACACAGAAGACACTCCTGAGTGTCCCTGGATCCCCATTTCTTCCCACACAAAACAAAGGGACCTGACTGAAAAAGAAGCTAATCAGAAGCCATTTTTCATACGTGAATCTGTTGAGCTCTACAGTGGCACTGTCTTATGTTTGTTGACAACACATTTGTTAACCATTTTTTAACAGGCAGGATCTTCAAAAATGTCAAGGCCACGTGGCCCACACATCAGGAGCACCCTTGAAGCCCTTCCAGGACAAGCTCAGACGTCCAAGTGTCCAGGGGGGCTCCCACTTATGGCTGACGGTTGGTTCCTCCTAGTGACTTGAAAAGTGTGCACCTGAACCCAGGTTGCTCTTTGTCGAGCCAGAGATTTTAGTCCCCAAAAGAACACACCCAAATTGAGCCTGGATCTGTCAAGCAGCTTGTAACACTGGTGAGACTCATTTTCAAAGAGGGAAAGTCTTTGCATGTTCATTTTGTTGATTTCCTTTTTTTAAAGCATACTGGAAAATGTCACTGGGAAGGAGCAGCAGGTGTTCTGCTAAATCCTCTGCCACGAGAAGGATGCACCCTTGCCCGGGGTCTTATGACCTGCAGCACCATGGGTGGATGAAGGAGACAGCCTGCCCCCAGGCCAAGGAGGTGACCAGGAATTCTGGAATAACACCCTTTGTCCTCTGTCACCCAGGCTCCCCTACAGTGTCTGTAATGTTTGCTAAGCTGCATTTTATTGAATATAGTTATTTCCCTAAAGGACTTTTATTCAGATTTATACTCATGATTTCACCTCCTGGGGGCCAGAACATTTTCCTAGGAAGAAAGATCTTGTTCCTCTATCCAAAGGAATAAAAGGGAGGTTTCCCCAGGCCTCCAGATTTTCAGATTTGAGTTGGCAGGCCATCCGTATGTGCTCCGATGTCCCCATTTTTGCTCTCATCTCTTCTTGTTTTTCTTGCTGCTTTAATAGTCTGTTTATAAGCTCCAGGAAGAAAGGATCAAGGCCAGTCTGGCTCACAGTGCTATCCCCAGCTCCCAGCATGGTGCCTGGCCCAGAGAAGATTCCTGAGTACTCCCTGTCTAACGAGTGTATGCGTGCCGCCCCTCACGGGGTCAGCTCGACACTGGCTCCACAGCGTTTGGAAAGCTGGCCATCCACTCTCCGAGCTCCCAGCAGGAAAAGGGTTTCAAGATGACGAATGTTGATGTAGACAAGCTGGAGTCACCCTCTCACCCTGAGATCTGTTTTGCAATCTATACAGGGCAAAGGGGATTGCTTGCAAATGTCTGTTAGGAGCCAAGAATTTGAACTTGCTACCCTGGCTGCTACAGTTGTGTGGCTTCTTTCCCAGCTAGAGTGGTAAATTTGTGTCCCAAGCTAGTTCAGCTGAATTCAGTGCCCTCTAGAAGCTCCCACAATGGGCTGGCTTCCGGAGCAGGCTTTATGAAACTGCGGTTTGGATGCGTGGAGCAAACCTGAGTCTGGTGCATGTCCAGGGTATCATTTGTACCATCGCCGCGGTCCCAGGCCCCTCAGACCCCCCTGGTCTCACCTGCCCTCCCGAGCCCCCTGGAGCTTACCGCTAAGAGGGTGGGGAACCGTGAACTGCTTCTTGTTAGCACGGGCAGGAAAGAGACTCTGCTTCTGGCCCAGGTTCTCCGTCCGCTGGGCTTTTCTCTGCTGTACCCTGTGTTCTAGTTTCTTTAGCCGTTCTTGGGAACGAGAAATGAACTGGGGTTTCCGGACTTCCAGTGCTTCCTAACAGCAGCAAGAGAATATTTTATCTTTAATAGAAGTGATGCGGGCAAGAGATACATCCCTCTGATTTGGTCAAGAAGTTGATCAAAAGCACAACATTCAAAGACCAACAGCCACAGCGCATCTGCACACCACAATTTTCTGCCACTGCCTTGTGTGAAGACTGTGACAGGCATGTTGATGACATAGGTCCTGCAGGCCGATCCCAGCCAGCCCCCAGGGCCCCACTGCAGTGTGACTGCCTGGCCACTCACAGCAACGTGGCACACTTCTACCCATCCCTTCTTCCCCGTCAATCCAGTCGGTTTCCAACAGACTGAAATCCGAGGGCCCTGAACTCCCTACTCCAAAGAGACATGGGTGGGGAAGGAATGAAGGCACTATATGAGTCACTTGCTTCTGCTGGGGGTTGGACGCCTCACGCACAGACCGAGATCATCCACCCAGTGTGAAATACATGCCTTTTCAGGAGAAACAGTCATCTTGGCTAACAGGAATGTCTATTCCCAGGAAGAAAAAGTTGGCAAAGTATCTTTGCCTATGCATACTGGTTCTGCAAGCTCCGTAGGGGATGTCTGCATGGCCATATTTCCACTTCGGCCACATCCCTCAATACACGCCCCCCTCCACCCATGCATGTACTCAGGTCCACTGAAAAAGATACCACCACTGATGCATTCCACTCTGTGTCAGACACTGGGCTATGCGCTTTATGTGGCTCCGTTGTCTCTGGGAATCCCCACATTGATTCTGAACGGCAGATACACTTATCCCCATTTGATGGAGGCAAAATCCGAGGCTCATTGTGGTTTGGTGGATCTGAGGGACCTCCACGTTTTTTTCCACACTACCTTCTGTGGTCTTAACTTGCTATTCCTTGAAAACCTCTGTTCAGGTGGTTCCACTGCCTGGAGGAATACCCTAGCCGCACCCGTCAGAGTGCTCCAGCTCTCCCGGTAAGCTCTGTCGGGTCTTCCCATTCAGCCCGAGCCTTGTGGTACCTCACAGACCACCTCGTACAATGGATTCATACACACCGATGGCCAGGCTGGGCTGTGAGCTCCTGGATGCCATGGGTCTCACCCACCCTGTGGCCCTCCCGCCACTGCCCTGAGCCCCGCACATAGTAGGGTAGGATATGCTACCATGGCAGACTGTTCCTCTGCCTCACTCCTCCCCCAGCCCTTTGGGAGCTCAGGGTTCCCATGGGGAGGGCAGTTCAGGCTCCATTTGCATCCTGGAAGTGGCCTTGGCAGCTGTGCCAGGAAAGGAGTCTTCTTGGCCACTTGATCTCCATGGCACCGTCCCCTGGTCCCAGGCACACTGGGGCTGCACAGAGAGCCCTTGGGAACAGCCTCTTGGCCCAGCGTGGCTGTTTCAGGGTCATCATGAGTCTCTTACCGTGGACCTATCGAGGACCCCGGGGTGCAGGGACCGGCCAATGGCACTGTCCCCACATCTGCAGGGATGTTTACAGCCTATCAAGTCCTTTCCCAGATAGTATGCCTGATTATACAACACGCTGCTAGCAGGAGCTTTCTTGGAGTTGTCTGCCCTGCTAATTTTTATATCTCTGTAATTCTGAACTTTAAAAAATGTGTACGTATTACTTCTACACCAGGAACAGACACCAAATGAAAGCTTTCACATCCCTGAGCTCATGGCCATGTGATTTAGGGCAACCTCCTTAATCTTTCCAAAGCTTAATATCCTCACTTGAAGATGGGGTCACAGGGACCCGTGCCCCATAGGGGGGCAGCGTGGACGGAAGGCCCTGATGCCTATAAAGGGACCTGCGCAGCGTTACCCATAACTTCTCAAGAAATGCTGTTAAAAAAAAAAAGAAGAAATGCTGTCACTACTATGATCATTATGATCATTGTCATGACCAGTATTATGCGATCCTCATTGTAGCCCAGTGGAGTAGACATCTTTTCTCCATCACTCACACTGTGAAACAGAGGCCCAGAAAGGTTAGGGGACCTGCCCAGGGTCACACAGCCATTACGAAGGGGAGTCAAGCCTCCAGTCTCAGAGGTGGAAGTGAGATCATGACCCCCCCACCACAGACTCCCCAGGAGAGGTCTCCCCTCGGTGGGGATCAAGCCGGGGTGCACAGAGGGCCTTACCTGCAAGGTCAAGGAGCTTACAGGTGTTCCTTGACCCTCAGAACAGTCTTCGGACAGGTCAGGGGTCTCTGGTGGCTCAGGGGACACTGGCTCCAGGGGCACTGGCTCTGGGGGTGCTGGCTCCAGGGGTGCTGGCTCGGGGGGCTCCTCACTCTTCCTGCATTCCTTTATTTTTACAACCAAGTCACAGCACTTGTAATCCCCTGGGAGAGAAGATTTAGAATCCCATTTAGAGGGGCAGCAAGATTTCCTCCTGGCTTCTCAGAGTCATGAGACACAGAAGACAATTTGGAAAATAGAAACACCAGTGGGTTATTAACGGGCTTCGTTAAGCCTATGAGATCCTGCCTCCACAGACCCCTCCCCGCCCCCGCCCCAGCTGCCCTGGTCACAGGGAGGCATGTCTGTGGGCAGCCAGAATTTGCACTGGCTAATTATACCATGGAGGTATTCCCTCGGCTTCCAGGGTTTAAAATGCTTTTGTTCACAATGAAAAGAAACTTTTCTATTCCAGGCTTCATATTAAGTGTGTCCTGTACAATTATTATAGCTCAGTTGTTTGGGGACAGTGTATTAATTTGTCTTATGTTTGCTACACTAATGATGTAAGACAGAAAAACAGTGTTCGATTATTTATCCCTCCCCTTCAATCGCTAGTGAATACCACTGGCTTTACATGTATAATTGGAATGATCTCTCCCTCTCTCTCTCAGTTGGATCTGGTCACTTCCTGGGCCATTGACATTCCCTTGTGGAAAAGGTCAGGGGGCACACTGATTCAACAGCACTTTGGGCAGGACAGCCTCTGGCATGGGGAAGGAAAAATTAATACGTATTCACTGACCACTTGCTGACCAACTGCTCTGCCAGGAACACACTGTCCCTTCCGTCCATGCTAGCCCATTCTTCCCGTGTGAGCTCCCCTACCCTCGTCTGCACCGTCCCCCAACACAGCCTCCCAACACCTCCCCAGCTCTGAAACCCAATAGCATCTTACTCCTCACCCATATGCCCTCCTATTGCCACAAACCCAGTGACCTCCGACCTGCAGGCTGAGCCCCAATCCTTTAGGAAGTGCCCCCCTTCCCAAAGCAGGCTCCATCCCACCAGCGGTGTGCTCTCACGGCAGAACACGCTTGCCACACGCAGCAGCACTGGTTACGGGGTAAGGTCATAACAGGGTGCTTTAACCCCACAAGCCTGGGACTCCCTCGAGGGCTGGACCATGTCATATTCACCTTGCATCTCTCCACGGGGGCAGCCCAGGAGCCTGCTAGGAGCTGGTTCTGTTGGGAGTGGAGAGGTGGCCATTAGGAGGCTCAAGGGGCCACAGGACGCATCTCCATGGTCCCCTGAATCTCTTACCTGAAGCCCCTGCTAGAACATCCACCATCCATGCCTGGATCCTCTCTGGCCTGAACCAGCTGTCCTCTTTCTATGTAAAATCCACCCACGTTCCCTAAGACCTACAGGTCCTGCAGGCAGCCCAGACGTTTTGTAGCTCGTTTGTGGTGGATGTTCCATTTCCAACTATTGCCTTCCGTTCTGTACCAACAACATACTACTTCTTAGAGGCTCTCAAATCGTTCTCTTTCATTCCTTCGGGCATTTGCTCTTGTTCTTCCTGGAGGATTTCCCTGTTGCTCCCCTATTCCTGCTTCCAGCCTAACCGACCAGCCCAGATATCGATCCCCCAAGCCCCCTGCAGCTAGAGTTAATTACACTTTCCACCACACCGTCCCCATTTCTTGCTGTGAACTTTCTCCTGCCTCACCTCACCCACAGGGATGCCACAGTGCCTCACATCCTTTCCCACCTGCACCCCACCACCAGCCCCCACACCCCAGGGGCGGTGCAGGCATGCCCGTCTTCATCAGTGCTCCCATCAGTGCTCCCTTGTATCTTCAAAGTCTCACTACTGTGGCCTCTCCTCCCCAGTCTGTGCTCCTTGGCAGGGCCTCAGCCCCCAGCCTCACCATCTCCCTCCCATCCCCAACACCCGCCCCCCCCGCCACTGTCCAGGAGACAGTCTCCTTCAGAGGGAATCCGATTAGATCTCTGCCCCTCAAAGGCTTGGCCTTGACTTCAGTTCAAAGCCCCTGAGTGGGTTTGAAGGACGTTCCGACTTGACCGTGTGACCTCAGACTCCCACTAAGTCCCTCTCTGCCCTCCCAGCACTCTGGCCCCCTGGATCCCAAATCAACCATATTGTCTCCATCAACTCTTTGCTTTGTGCGTGCCTTTCCCTCAGTCTGCAATACTCTTCACCCTCAGGTCTGATTTGTGAGCTTCTAGTCAGCTTTCAAGTCCCTGCTCAGAATCATTTCCTTGAGGAGGAGATCTCTGTCCAGCCCCACCTTGGAGCCCCTGCGGCCACCGGCAGCTTCCTGACGGCTCGGCACAGACACAGGTATGCTCCTGGTGTCTCCAGCACTGGAGGGCAGGGAGCACTGAGCACAGTGACTGGCACACAGTAGGTGTGTATATAGTAGGTGTTTAATCAATGTTTCTTCAATATATTAATGGATGAAGAACTAGGGATTAACTTGGCTCCCAGGTGAAATTAGTTTTGTCAACTACCATAGCCCTTTAAACCTTTATATTGCAAAGCTATATAACCTGGTGGGTTTCTTTTTGTCCTTATCCATAGCTGTTTGGGAAAACCTTCAGAGTGATAGGAGATCTAAGTTTTCTCACTGAAAACTGGGCACCACAGATCTCTTTTCTATTCTACCTTTATATTCTTTTATATACCGCTGCTCACTGCAATATTAATAGGGGTCAGCTGCTTGGTCTTAGAAGAGGGATGGCTGGGTTGGAATTCTTGGTTCCCTCATCGGTGCGAGGCTCAGATTGGGACCTACCTGGAGGACACTGCAGGGCCTGCACCTCTCAGCCAGGACCCTTGCTAGGCACTCACAGAAGACCACGGGCGGCCTGGTGGACCTCAGAGCAGCCACACCAACGTCTCATACCCTCCCCTTAGCTAAGCCTGGGAGCCTGCCATGTACCTGGGAGTGGCTTTCCTCTAGGCCTTGGTGGATCCGGACCTGCTGCGCAGTGGGGCCGGAATTCCTGACCCACACAGGGTTGTCTTCTCCATGCTTGGGAGGGAGAACTCACCCACCATGGAAACCTGCAGGTCCTGCTTGCTCTCAGCTCACACCGTCCAGAAGGGACAGCTTTATGAGGTGAGCTTGTGTGAACCAGGGCTCAGGAAGACATCATACCATTTTCCATATGAATATCACAGCGGAATCACCTCAACCCTACCTCCCTTGCTCCTTACCTTTGGGGAACTCTCTTTCTATCTGAACATCACTGTCTTCCTGTGGAGATGTGCATAAATCTTGTAAGGGGCAAAGAAAGCCAGATAAAGGGATTCCGGATTTCAGGAAGCTTTGCTGTTGACTCTCTGAGGGCTCAGAGAAGTTGCTAGACTGACAGCTGTTGTTTGGAGAGCTATACCCATCGGGAAGGAACTCTTTAACCAGCTTCTGTTCCACTGGGGGAGCAGACAAAGTCACACGTGCTTCTCCTTGTTGCTTCTCGCTGCTTCCAGAAAATACTTTTGCTTCTACTAAAAATAAAACAAGAGTTGTGCTCAAAACATCTGACGAGTGCACATCAAATGTACTGACTTTGGGACACCTTGCTCGTCTGGAGACGGAGACACAGGTGAGCTGGAGTCATTGGGGGCCAATGTGCACGCGCTCTGGGGGCATTTGTCACGTGATCACCGCTCTGGGTAGGACTTCCCCCAGCTTGCTGTGGAGCTCCACTGTATACACCACTCTCATGCATTCGGTCTAAAGACTTTGTGCTCGCCAGCGCCCTTAGAAACTCAAGTGACTTTCTCAACACTAGTCAAGAGAGTGGGTGGTTCAGCACACTGACTGTGGGGCCAGAGTACCTGGGTTCAAATCCCACCTCTACCACTTCTCAGGTATCTGGCCCCATCTATAAAATCGAGGTAATCACATTAAATATTACTTATTTATTATTATATCTATTTTCGTAAGAAGTTAATATATGTATGTAACAACACATTTATATAATTTATATCATTCTTACAGAATAACATTATAGTAATTAAAATTGAGGCAATATGAAAAAATACTGATCCATGTAAGGTGTTTAGCATAGTACCTGACACACAGTAAGCACTTAATAAATGTTACCCATCACCATTAATGCAGAAACATTGATGGAGGCTCTGTACTACAGCAAGTACAGAGGTAGGAGGTAATTAATGAGGTCATAGTGCAGACTTCTCATAAAGCAGTGGACAGAAAATGTATACAACATGTTGCTTATTGCCACACTGTAACCCCAAAAGTCTAGAAAGCAGCTGCTGCCCATCAACAGGGGACCATTAGATCCCAGTGCCCCCACACTTTGCAGCAAGGGAACAGAATAGGGCAAATGCTCCTTTGTAGATGTGGAATAATCTCAGAGATGTGTTATCAAGTGAACGAAGCAGAATGCAGGACTGTGCATCAGGTCTGCTTCCACCGGTAAGTGCCTATATACTCAGGGCATCCCTGGAAGGACCCAGAGGTGCTGGACATCGGGGACCTTGAGGGCAGTGCAGGACCAGGAACTGAGAGTGGGGGAGAGACTTTCTTTTCACTGTTTGCCTCTTTTATACTCTTGGTTTTTCTTTTGAAATACTCTATAATGTTTAAAAATTACTCATTTTAAATAAGTTAGTGACTCTTCACCGGGCACCATCTCCTATGTTAAGGCCCTCTAAGGGGCAGGGCCCCACCTGGGGGAGAGAGCCCCCGCTGCCAGAAGCATGTGTCCAAACCCCCTTGAGCACTGAGGAGAAAAAAGTCCTAGGAATGAATAATAAGGACTCTTAGAAGCTTCTTGCCGTATTTTCTCAAATGTCCTACGCAAAAAGGAAATGAGCCCATGACCACCTGGCATTGATTAGAATGGAGACCTCTTTTAAAATGTCTCAGTTGTCTCCACTTTGTTCCAGCCCCTCTGTCCCTGACCCCTAGTGTCCTCGACAACGAGAACAGGTTGAGTGTGGCGATGTGGTGCAGGGTGGGGGGAAGAACAGAGGACACAGAGGGAGTGTCGGTGCGCTCCCTGGCTCTGGCATCTGGGGCAAGTGAATCCACACGGGGTAAAGCCGGCTTTCCATGTTCTTATAAACAAACAGCCAAAATGAAGGAAAGCACCTACTGGGTCCCAGCACATTGGGGGTACAAAGAAAATGGCAGTTATTCTTGGCCCCGTCATTTGGAGAGGACATGTGGTCTCCTCCAGTAAAGGTTGGGCTTTGCTCATTTGTACAGAAAATATCTTTCTAAACTGTTATTTCAAAAACTGCCAATTCTGTTTACGTATGAAGTGCCATGAGCAAAAAGTCTCAAAATAGTTATTCCTTTCTATGTTGCTTCCTTGTGTGAGAAGCTCTCTTAAAAGAATCAAAAACGAAATCACTGATCAGTGGTGCAGTCCCCATCTGCTCCTTGCATACTGGTGTTGGGCTCTTTAAGGGAGGCTGACCTACCTACCTCCCTACCTATCAGTTACCTGTTGATCTGGTTTCAGGTAAATTCTTTTTTTTTTTTTTTAAAGATTTTATTTACTTGAGAGAGAGAAAGAGAACGAGCAGGGGGGAGAGGCAGAAGCAGAGGGAGAAGCATGATCCCTGCTGAGCAGGGAGCCCGATGCAGGACTCGATCCCAGGACCCTGGGATCATGACCTGAGCCGAAGGCAGACGTTTAACCAACTGAGCCACCCCGGCATCCCTGGTTTCATGTAAATTCTTATGTGAAGCATTCTCTGCAAGTCAGGTGGTCCACTTGTGACTTGGAAGAGTTAAGACAACTCCCAGAAAGTAGAATGCAGTAGGGGTGCTGGAGAAGAGAAAAATATGCAGCCCAAGAAGGACTCTTGTGACAACTTATTGATCAGATCTCTTTTTGTGGATTCTGAAAAGTACAAACATCAACCATGAAATTGTCCTCAGGCGGGTCTTCACAAAGCAAGGATGTGCACGTTCTTTCTCCCCATTATGCCCTGCATGTGGGTTGGGCTGGAAGTTCTCAATTCATGCCCCCAATTTTATGTCTATCACCCCAGTGATGGCCCATTGCACTGCTAGCTCTGCCTGTCTTGAGAGTCTTAAGAGAAGCATGAGTAAATCAGCAGCCTCTGACAGGCATTTCTATTTCTTGACGCAAACTCAAAGCCTCCTTCCTGAGCCTGAATTTGGAAGAGCTGGGGCACTGCAGGTTTCCTTGAAATAGTAATGTTCCCTCTGTTGCCTCTTCTCAAATGCGTTACCCTGGGGCGCCTGGGTGGCTCAGTCAGTTAAGCATCTGCCTTCAGCTCAGGTCATGATCCCAGGGTCCTGGGATCGAGCCCTGCATTGGGCTTCCTGCACAGGGGGAGTCTGCTTCTCTCTCTCTTTGCCCCTCCCCCTGGCTTGTGTTCTCTCTCTCAATTAAATAAAATCTTAAATAAAATAAAATGCATTACCCTATGGTTTGATCTTCTATAGCTCAAGTATCCAGCAAACTCACCTATCCAGAACTGTGCCATGTTCCGGGAGGTGAACAGAAAGCAACCAAAGATCCTGCCCAACAGTCACAATTATCTTGTGGATAATTTTCCCACCTATGTCAGTATCCGTAAACAACATATTTCCAATACCAATAGCAAGCTCAAAGGTAGTTGTTTTCAGGTGAGGATGTCATTGTACCTATTACTCAAAAGCTTCCAGGAGGAGAGAGATCAGCAGGCTGGCTTGGCCACAGCTTCCCTGAGAGCTGATGGGGTGTGATTCTGGGGAAGACAGAGGGAAGCCACAAATGAGTCCAGAAAACAAGGGGCTGACCACAGCCTGGACAGCAGGCAGGGCGGGCCAGCAGGAAGACAGCCAGGGGAGTGGGCTGCTCTGGATTTTCTGTTCCAGCCCTCGCCGTGTGTAACTGGAGGCCTAGGGGTGAGTTACAGTGGGATACTTCTCTGCGGCAAGATGTGGGCCTGAGCTGACCCAAGCACAGTGCAGGGAAGGGAGTGGGGACCTCAGGGACACACACAGCATCACAGCCAACCAAGAGACATGAACCTGGGCCAGGCGAGGCTACCACGAGGTCCTGAGCACAAAATGAGGAAAAGGTGCCCCTTCCCTGAGACACTTTACCTCCACCGGCAAGAAAATAGCATAATGAACCAATCTGATTGAAAAAGATACTTCAATGATTCTTTGCAAATATTAAGGCAATGCATGATCTTTTGTTTTTTTTTTTTTTTTTTT